CAGAGATGGAGGCAGAGATGATGACATGGAGAGATGGAGCAGCTGAGGACTCATGGAGGGAGAAGGGCTGTGTGCTGGTGGCCAGGGGGCAGGTTTGCAGGGTGTGCCCTTTGGTTGTTTGAATGATTGTATATTCCTGAGTGTTTTGGTGTACATACAAAAAAAGAAAAAACAAACAGAGAGAATAGAAGCAAATATTGTTGAATGATGATGCATGGAGGGGATTGTAATCATTGCAATGAAATGAAAGACAATAGGATGAGTCTAAAACTGATGTTCTTGCATGTAAGTTATTACTCAATTCACAATAAAAACTTAAAAACAAACAAACAAACAAAAAAGAATGTTTCATGGGCCAGATAAAACTCCTTAGAAGTGTCTTTCAGGAGTGACCAGCTTCAGACTAGTTCTTGGAGCACATTCAGTATCTCCAGTCCTGATCTCCCACTAAAAGCAGCCATGTACCTCAAGTTCAGCCTGAGACTCGAACTCTGGTTTGGAGACAGAGAACATGTGCACTGTTGTTTTTAGGTGCCATCAAGTCTGTTCTGACTCATAGTGACCTTATGCACAGCAGAAACAAACACTGCCTGGTCCTTCACTTTCTTCACAATCATTATGCTTCAGAGCCCATTGCTTCTGCCACTGTGTCAATCTATCTTTTTGGGGTCTTCCTCTTTTTCACTGACCCTCCACTTTACCAAGCATGAGGCCCTTCTTCAGGGATTGGTCTCTCCTGATAATATATCCAAAATATGAGGGATGAAGTCTGTGACCATTTTGGCTTATAAGGAACATTCTGGTTGTACTTCTTCCAACACATATTTGTTCTTTTGACAGTCCGTGGTACTTTTAATATTCTTCGCCAAAAACAATTCAAATAAATCAACTCTTCTGTGATCTTCCTTATTCATTGCCCAGCTTTCACATGCATATGAAGCTATTGAAAATAAACTGTCTTGGGTCAGGCACACCTTAGTCCTCAAACTGACATCTTTGCTCTTGAATACTTTACTAATAATATGTCCTCCAATTCCTCCCAAATGCCTTCACAATCAACTCCACCTTAGTTAGAATTTATTCCATCCTGAACTCTTACTGTATGCATGCCTCATTATTCTAGGCCCACCCCAACCCTTCCCCCAAGCTCTGTAACAGAGTTGTCCACCCCAGCACTACCCCTCCCCTATGCTCTGTTACAGAGTTGTCCACCTCTGCTACACCCAGATAAGATGGTGAGATATTGATAATGGGAGATGGAGTGCAAAGTTTGAAATTGCATCAACAGGTATTTTAGTTTTTGCTACTTCAAAGCTAATGGACAGGGTTGAAAATAAATCAGAGCAGTTTACAAGGCCAGTGGTTTATAAGTAGAGACAAAAGTATCCATCATGCAAAGGACATAAAATTAGCATGTGCTTATTTGGTAATTCAACTAATGGAGAGCGCTCTTAATGTGCAGGGAGTAGCCTGCTTTTTCCTGGAGCAGAAAAGACTTATATTGTCAACTCACTGATCCTGGTCGTGATGTGCCATGGAGTCAGTTCTGACTCAAAGTAACCCTGTACAGGGTTTCCAAGGCTGTAAATCTTTACATGAGCAGAAAGCCTCATCTTTACACTGTGGAAGTTTCGAACTGCTGACCTTAAGGTTCGCAGCCCGATTTGTAATCACACTATATACTACCAGAGCTCCTAGTTACCATATTATCTCTCAGACCTATACTTTCACAGCCCTATCCTGGTCCTCTCAATTCCACTTCCAACTATCCTCCTCCATCTCAGGCTCTGAAAGTGGTGTGACTGTGCCTTTCAGTTCAGGTTTCCAAAACGATATGGAGATCGCATCTGCCTTCTTCTGCATTTTGTTTATGTCTCTCCTCTCAGAATCATCCCACTTCTCTCTAACCTGTCCACACCAAGAAAATTGATGCAGTTTAGAAAAAACCACTAAACTGTATTCATCTCAAGTCCTTAATATGAAGATAAGTCAAAAAACATTGCTACTAGGGTTCCAGTCATACATGCATGGATTTACTTTAAACAAATCATGTTTACAAACGTCTATGTGATTAGTGAATGGCTACTGGCAAGTTCTCTCAGTGATATACTTGTCTATTACAAAAATTGGTCCAGTCAAAACAGTGGCTTCTGAGGGTTATCTGCTGGGCCAGTTAAATTCAAGACTGAAGGGCAGCTTAGAAGATAATGGCAACTGTTCTGGGGGAATTCCTAAGCATTTAAATTATGTTGTTGGCAAAGAATATTGAAAGTACCAGGGGTTGTCAGAAGAATAAATAAATCTGTTTTGGAAGAAATACAGTCAGAAATATTCCTTAGATGGGAGAATGGCAAGACTTCTTCTCGTGTACTCTGGACATGTTTTTGGATGGACCAGTCCCCGGAAAAGGACACCATTCTGGATAATGTAGAGGATCAGTGAAAAAGAGGAAGACCCCGTCAGAGAGATGGATTGACACAATGGTTGCACAATGGACACAAACGTAACAACTGTGAGGGTGGCTCAGAACCCGGTAACATTTTGATTTCTTGTGCCTAGGGTAGCTATGAGTTGGATCTGACTCAGTGGCACCTAATAACAACAATAAGAGGTCTTGATAGATTTTCTGAAAAGACACAGGATGATCGTGAAGGCTTACCAGGAAGAAGTTTTAGGAACATTGAAAACAGCATTGGTAAGAAAAAGGCCAGGAAATTTGTGTCAAAGAATTTTTCCATCATGACAATTTATCTACTCATTCTTTGAGGGAAGCAAGGGCCGTCTTATGAAAAATTTATGAAACCTTACCTTATTTGCTCTACAGCCCTGATTTTGCCTTCTCAGACTTCTTTTTGTTCCCCAAAATTCAAAGAACATTTTAAAGGAACACAAACTGATACCCCTGAGGATGCCAAAACTGCCATTTTGAGGTGGTATAAATTGAAGAATGCAGAATCCTTTGGAAAAGGGTTGTTGTTGTTCAGTGACATTGAGTGGCTTCTAACTCATAGTGATTGCTTATAGGGTTTCCACGGAGCAGATGGTGAGTTTGAACCACCAACCTTTTGGTTTAAACCAACCTTGCAGTCCAGTGCTTTATCCCGCAGCTCCACACCAGGAATAATCCTGGCAAAGGGTTGTTGTGTCATATTTTGTACATGTTGTCAGGAAGGACCAATCCCTGGAGAACAATATGCTTGGAAAAGCTGAGGTTCAGCAGAAAAGAGGAAGATTCTCAACAATTTGGACTCACACAGTGGCAGCAATTGTGAGGATGGTACAGGACTAGGCAGTATATTTGGCCTTAATTCACTGCCATGTGCTGCATCTAGTGGGCCAGTTAAATTCAAGACTGAAGGACAACTTAGAAGGTTATGGCAACTGTTTTGGGGGAATTTGACAATAATATTCAGAGAATATAGAAAATATATACACATTGGATAACTTAATTCACCCTGACCATTCTACTTAATCCCTGAAGATTTTTGCACACAAAGATTGTTGTTATTAAGTGTCATGGAGTTGGTTTTGACTCATAACAACCCCGTATAGAGTTTCTGAGTTGCTATTTAATTATCTCTGATTCATGACAACTCTATGTATACCAAACAGAACATTGCCCAGTCCCGCACCATCTTTATGCCACTGGTATATTTGAATCCATTGTTGGAACTACTATATCAATTCCCTCATTTTGATGACTCTCTCCTTTGCCAAACATGATGGCCTTTTCTAGCAGATGGTCTTTCCTGATGACCTGTCCAAAAGGAAGAAAGTCAATGTCTCTCACCACCCTTGTTTATAAGATAGACCTACCTCCAACTCGCCTGTCAGGTATGTAGCTATTCTCAGGATTACACTGACTTGACAAAGTTCTGGCATTTGCTGCAGCATCCTCATTCCAGCTCTATAGTGGAAAAGTAAAAACTGGGCACATGATCTTAATAATTCTATGTAAAAGTCTAGTTTATTGTTTCCAAAATCCAAGGTTAGGAAGATCCTCAATTGTGTAAGCTAACATTGAAGTAATAATACAGCTCTTAAATTCCCAATAGAAACGGATGGCATATATTTCAATATATTAGCCCTTGAATTCATCAAATCAAAATTTAACAATAGCATTCAGAGATAGTTCCTTTGAGCAGTAAGGAGTTAAAGTAAATAAATACTTTAAGTAAAGCAGTAAGAGTTAGAAACCCATCTCAGTTACTTATTAGCAGTTTTACCTTTGATATATTACTTAATCTCTTTGAATCTTAGTTTCTTCATCTGTAATTTACACACAAAATTTGCTTAAAAGTTTTAATGTGATGCTCCATCACTATACTAAATCTTATACTACATGTCCAGCAAATAAACGGTAGCTGTTGAGATCGACAGCAAGTAAAGAACTGTGCATCTCAATTGAAAATTGTGAATAATAAAAAGAATAATAGTTAACACCAATTCTCCATGCATTTTCCTTCATTTTATAGTTACAGCAGCTTTATAGGATTGTGATTGTTGTTGTTAAGTGCCATGGAGTCGGTTCTGACTCATATCAACCTTGTATAGGGTTTCTGAGGATTAGCTGGTGAGTTTGAACTGCTGACCTTTCGGTGTTTATCCTATACCTCCACTTTAGGAGCTTTACAAGGTAGGTACTATTATGATCCTCATTTTACAAATACAGATGCTGAGACACAGAGTTGTTGAAGAATTTTTCAATTTGCTATCAGTAAGTGGCACAAACAGACTATAAACTGAGTTAAATCTGACTTCAGAGGATGTACGCCTAACTACCAATGTGGCTCAGCTGTTTTGAATTGAGATAGTTTGTCAGCTACAGCTCCGAAACAGCTGTTCTCCAGGTAAGGGGGAATGCTGTGTTGTTAGTGACTCCATATTGGCAGAGTACAACTGCCCCATTTGATTTTCTAAGCTGGTAACTTAATGGGAGTGGGTAGCCAGGTCTTTCTCCCAGAGACCAGGTTTGAACAGCCAAACTTTTAGTTAGCAGTCCAGTACCTAAATGCCCTCCACCAGGGCTCCTGTTAAAGAGAAAATAGGTATGGGACTCTATGACAAATGATCTCCCTGACACTCTTTCATCCTCTCCTATGTCCATCCACTTAAAGAACTTTTACTATATAAGGGCACTTTTTAAAATTCCAGGGAAAAATTCCACTATCTTTTAGTTGTATTTTCCATGAACTTTTTGAAGCCCCCTCGTATCTGCATGGAACATATCACAAACAAGAGTTGTGAAGTTTGTTTTACTCTGAGTTAGATAGTGATTTGACTACGTATTAGACTAACATAAGTTCCACCTGGTAGCTAAGGAAGTTTTGATGTGTATTACGTGTATATGCTGCCATCATGTGGTCATTCCCCAGAATTACCCCTAAGGTTGATGAATTTTCTAAGCAGTACCATTCAATTTCCATTGTAACTAATTAGCCAGGTTGTTGTTAAGTGACCTTGAATCAGCTGTGACTCTTGTTGTTGTTAGCAACCCTGTATAGGGTTACCAAGGAGTGGCTGATGAGTTTGAATTGCGGACTCTGTGGTTCAAATTAACCTTGCTGTCCAGTGCTTATCCTACAGTACCACACAGAGTGAAAACGTGGTCTTGTGTATTTTGATTGCTTCAAGCCCCCAAACAATGCATTTTAGCCATTTGGCGTAGTGGTTACGCGTTGGAGTTGGTCTGCTAACCTCAAGGCCAGTAGTTCGAAACTACCAGCGGTTCCGTGGGAGAAAGATGAAGCTTTCTGCTCCCGTAAAGCTCTGGGAGCGCAGTGGTTACAAATCGGGCTGCCAACCGCAAGGTCAGTAGTTCGAAACTACCAGCTGCTCCACGGGAGAAAGAGGAGGCTTATCTGCTCCCGTAAAGATTTACAGCCTCGGAAACCCTACAGAAACCCTGTTCAGGGTCGCTATGGGTCGGAACCGACTCGACGGCACTTAATAACAAGTCTAACTGAAGAAACAGAGATGATAGTACACATTTATCAACACACAAAATCTCCCAGCAGTGGGGATACCATTACATTGCATTCACTGGTAAAGAAAACCTGGCTAACGTATCATTATGTTGTTGTTGTTGTTGTTATATGAGGTGGAGTCCAGTTGCGACTCATAGCGACCCTGTACAGGGTTTTTGAGGGTGTAAATCTTTACGGGAGCAGAAAGCCTCATCTTTCTCCCACGGAACAGCTGGTAGTTTCGAACTGCTGATCTTGCGGTTCGCAGCCCAATTCGTAACCACTATCATTATAGCTAGAACTTAGCTAGATAAATCATATCTAACTCCTTGTAGTGGATGCACACACACACATAGAGCTATTATTGTTTTCCCTCTAGGCTGACTTTTCTCTCTAGAGCACCCCCTATCAAAGAAATGGTACATATGGGAAGTATAAATGCCAGGGTACCTCTCTCCAATTTACCGCTACTCAAAAAGCCATCCTAGGTTTATAGTTCCTCTGGAATTAATTTGATTTTGTCATTAAGATTACAGCCAAGAAAACCTTATGCATCAGTACTACTCTGTAACACATGTTAAGTGCAGTCAAGTCAGTTCTAACTTAGAGCAACCTGTGCAGACTTTCCAAGAAGTGGCTGGTGAGTTTGACTCACCAATCTTTTGGTCCAGTGCTTTATCCCACAGAACCACACCAAGACTCCATAACATATGTGGTGATGGTGGTGGTTATGTGCTCTGGAGTCAGTTACGAGTCATGTTGCTAAAATCAATGTCAGAAGTACTGGGAAGAAAGATGAGGCTTTCTGCTCATGTAAAGATTTACAGCCACAGAAAGTTTATTCTCTGTGAGTTGGAACTGACTGCATGGCACATAATCACCACCACCACCATAACACATGTTATTGTTGTCGTTGTTAAGTGCTGTAGAGTCAATTCTGACCCATAGCGAACCTGTATAGGGTTTCTGAGGAGCAGCTGGTGAGCTTGAACCACCGATCTTGCAGTTCAAATGGCTTTGCAGTGTGGCGCATTAACCCACAGTGCCACCCATGCAGTCACCATAAATCAAGACTGACTTGACAACAGCACTTTTGGTTTGACTTGCTGGGATTGGTTGAGGTTATTCTGAGTACATCACAGCCCATCTTCTCATTGTGCTCCATTCTATTTCTCTCCCTACCGCCACAAGTAGGTGTAAACCTGGAGATTATTTCCCAATAAATGCCTTTCATGTTAATAGCTATTTGAAAGTCAGTTTATGGGGGAACACTGTCTGCAACACATTATATCCTGAAAGAAACCATATAGAGTATTGCCTCTGAATAATGTTGATAAGACATAGTCTTTTCTGTGCTATATTCTTGATTAAGATTCACAAATAGATATTTTTGCAGCATATCAAGCTACTGTTGTGAGATACCAAATCTAAGACTAATCACTTGTTTGATTCTTGGTGTGGTGCTGTAGAATTAGCACTGGACGCTGAACCACAAGGTCAGCAGTTCAAGCCCATCAAGTGCTCCTTGGAAACCCTTGCTATGAGTTGGAACCAACTTGACACTACTTAATGACAACACCAATCGCCTCTTTAACTTGCACTTTCTCTAAATTTATTTTGTGGCATACCACCTACTCTGCTCACACGCCAGGTTAGAGTGGAAAGGCTATTTCTCTCCTTTTTTAATGGCATGCAAGGGATCTGCCGAATACACCTACCCACTTTAGTTTACATGTCAGTATCAACTGGTTTAGAACCTAGGTCTTTAATACTCAACCAGCGTCTTAGCTTCTGGACTATAGCGTCATGAAGACAGCTTTGCTGTTCCTTCTAGAATTTATTAGTAGAAGGTCCTGTAGGCCTAAAAGCATCAGCATCACCTGGGAGCTTGTTAGATATGCACATATTTGGCCCCATCACGTACCTGGTAGTGCGGTAAGATAAGCTAACCTAACCATCAACTGCTCTTCGGGAGCAAGATGAGACTGTCTGCTCTTGTAAAGATGTACAGCCTCAGAAACCCTATATGGGGTGGCTATGAGTCAGAATCGACTTTAAGGCAGTGCAGTGGTCCTTCCTCTTGATCCAAGATTCCTGTGAATGGGGCCCAAAGATTTGTCCTATATCAAGTTCTTCAAGTTCTTAAACACAGGAAAGTTTGAGAAAAGGATACATTAAGAATGAAGCTACATCACTCTAGCTGGGATTGTTCTATTTTTTACTTGACTCTATGCCCTTGAGAAAGTTACTTATGCTCTCTGGGATCCAGTTTCTTCTACTATGTCAAAAATTTTTTTGTGACGCTCAAACTTGTGAGCATATTTACAGTGGTGTTGTGCTTTCAGATAAGCACTGGACTGTTAACGAACATCGGAGGTTCAAACCCACCAGCCATTCCTTGGAAAACCTGTACAGTCGCTACGAGTCAGAACTGACTCAATGATACTTCACAACATCCCAGTTAAAGTCATTGTTATTTCCATTACTGTTATTACTGTTTAATTAATCTTACCATCTTCAGCATGTTACTGGCTGATGGAGTTACGTTTCTCCTGAAGCTATTATGTACGTTAACAATTTCCTCTTGGACATCTGGTAACGTGGTAAGGAGGGTTTTATATGGAACCCAAGTTTTACCCTGTTATCAGAAAAATCACTTATTAGTCTTTTTTTAAAATAGAATTCATCACATAAAATATGTTATTTGAAAATGTGTAGTTAACATACTATTTGTTAATAGGCCTTTTTAAAAAAAAACAAAAAACTTTTTACAGCAATATTAGTCTTGTAGAGAACTTGTGCAAAAAGTAAAAGCATTCTCATATATCCCTTTCCCAACTACATTCCAGTAGTACGTTTGTTACACTTGGTGAGTTAAATGGATATTTTTTACTAACTGTATTCTGTAGTTTACACAGAGTTCATTCTGTATGTTGAATAGTTCTATGGGTTTTGATGTACACAAAATGCCATGTGTCCACTGTCCCAGTATCGTGTAGGATAGTTTCATTGCTCTAAAATACCCTATGCTCGACCTACTCGCCTTTTCCCTGCTGCTACTGAATACTGGGATTCCTGGTGTGGCCCTGTGGGCTAATGCACCAGACTGCAAAGCAATCTGAACTTCAAGGTCATGGTTCAAGCTCACCAGCTGCTCCTTGGAAACCCTATACAAGGTCTCTCTGGGTTGCAATTGACTCGATGACACTTAGCAACAACAACTGAACACTGACTTTTTTTTACTGTCTTTTTAGTTTTCCTAGGATTCCTTGTGTGTCACTGAAGGATCAGCACCAGACTGTGAAACACAAGGTTGGCAGTTCAAACCCACCAGCTGCTTCTCAGTAACCCTATCCAGAGTTGCTATGAGTCAGAACTGACTCCATGGTCCTAACAACAATTAAGTTGTTCGGTGGTGCAAATGACTAGAAAGAGGGATAAAACACATCCAAACACACAAAAACAAAGTAACACTTTCTCTGTATGCAAATGATACGATCCTATGCTTAGAAAACTCCAAAGAATCAGAAAGAAAATGATTGGAACTCATTGAAATGTTCAGAAAAGTGGCAAGTACAAAAATCAGTTGGATTCTTCTATAACAGTAAAGGCAACACTGAAAGGAAAATTAGCAAAGTTATATCATTTATAGGAGCCACTGAAAATATGAAATACTTAGAAATAAATTTAACCAGAAAAACAAAAGACTACAGCAAAGAAAACTTCAAAACACCACTACAAGAAACCAAGAGACTTATTCAAAACAGCCTGGTACTGGTGCAATGGAAGACCCATAGGTCGATGGAAAATCATTGAGATCCCAGAATTAAGTTGATCTACTTAATGCTCAGTTGATCTTTGACAAAGGACCAAAATACATTGAAAGGGAAAGAAACAATCTCTTCAACAAATGGTAGTAGCACATGAGCACAGGAGATGAACAGACACTTCATCAAGGAAGACATTCGGGCAGCCAATAAGCATATGAAGAAATGTTCACAATCATTAGCTATTACAGAGATGCAAATAAAAAAAACCAATGAGATATCATCTCACACCAGGAATAATAGCAAAGTTCAAAAAAATGGAAAACAAAAAAATATACCTTAGGGTGTGGAAAGTCTTGGCACCACCATACACTGCTAGTGGGACTGTAAAATTGTCGACTACTGTGGAAAACAGTATGATGCTTTCTCAAAAAGTTGGAAGTAGAAATACATTATGACCAGCAATCCCTCTACTTAGTATATGTTGTTGTTGTTAAGTGCCGTAGATTTGGTACTGACTCATAGCGACCCTGTAAAGGCTTACCAAGGAGTGGCTGGTGAGTTTGAACTGCAGACCTTATGGTTCAAACCCGCCTTGTGGTCCAGTGATTTATCCCACAGCACGTCTAGTGATAAGAGACTAGAAACGAGTAGATATATGCACACCCGTGTTCATCACAGCACTACTCACAATAGTAAAAAGATGGAGACAGCCTAATCGCCCATCAATGGAAGAATGGGTAAACAAACTTTGCTACATACACACAATGGAATACTATGCAACATTGAAGAATAACAGTGAATCTGCAGAACATATCATACCATGGATGACCCTGAAGGACAGTATGCTGAGTGAAATTAGTCAATCACAAAAGGTCAAATAATATGTGATGTCACTCTTGTAGAAAGTCAAGAAAAGTTTTTTGTGATAAAATAAATATTCTCTGATGGCTACCAGGGATGGGACAGAAATCACAATTATTCAATGACTAGAGGGTAGACATGTGTTAACTTCAGCGATAAGGAAGGCATTTAAAAGAAAAAAAAAATTTTAAAAAGAGAAATACCTATAGTAGGCAAATATGTGGAGCTTGAAGTCTACTAATAGTTGCTAAGATTCATTACTTGGTAGAGCACTGAGCTTCTGTTAAGGATGGTGGGAAAAATTGGGGGAGAGGAAATTATAAATTCTGTAAGGGTCCAAAGAGACTGTGGACATGAGAAGGTCAGCAGAGGGGCATCATCAGCTCTGTCCTTATTCCCCACCACACTAGGGGCTTTGAGATCTGCCCTGCTTGGTTACTTCTCTGAATTAAATAAACCAGAGATGCCTGGTCCAGGCAAGCAGGGATGGATCCCATAAGTAGAGTAGCCCTTTCTTTCTAGGGGACAAGACTCATGATCCTGCAGGACCCTTGAGTCAACAATGCCTGTCCCCAACTTCCTTTCTGCTCACTGAATCAGGCTTCCCACAAAACTTGGCTCGCTGTTCTCTGACCAAGACCTCTATTCTTTCATCAGGCGCAGTCCAGTTGATTCAGACAACGCATGACTATCAGAATAGAATTGTGGTCCACAGGCTTTTCAAAACAATGAAAAAGAGAGAGATGAAGCCCCAAGCAGATCTCAGAGGGACCTACTACTACCAAGGAAGAAGAGGCAGGGGTAGAGTCTGTCATTTAAACCTGGGGTCCCTGCACTGTGATACAGGGAATGATTGACATCACAACACATGATGATCTCCAGGAATGCTGGGCTTACAGATACTGAAAGGAAACAAGGACCTTTTTCCAAAACTGGTATTCTTGAGTCTGGACTCCTAGCTTCCTAAACTGTGAAAGAATAAATTTCTGTTTGTTAAAGATAAAAACAAAACCTATGGAGCCCAGTTCCAGTCTGTCACACATGGGGTCACCTTGAGTCAGAATTGATTTAATGTCAACTAGTTTTATTACTTTTATTATCACTTCCTTTCATTCACTTGGTCTTCAGAAACAAATTTATTCTCTCCACCCTATTTATGCACTCAGCTTGAGGGTCTTTTTTACCCATATGGATGACTACCTCTAGTGTCTCAAGCCTTTAAACTCTTGTTTTTAAATCCTCTTTACTCCACATTCACAGTTACATACCAAATCTTATGATCACTCCAAAATGCTATATTCCTCAAATCACTAAACCAACCATTTCCTAAGTCAGCCAGGATCTCCTATTTTTCCATCTGTGAATGTCATTCATTCTCATGGTTTGCCAATATTATCAATATTATCTATTTCTTCCTTCTCTATCAAAATGATCATTTCTGCAACTGTCTTGCTAAAACATTGAATCCTTTCGATGCACCAACCCCACCTAGGAATATACCAATTTTGCAAGAGAACTGTAATTCCCACTTTCTGCACTAAGTCAACTCAGCATTACTAGGATTATATCACACCAAAGGATAAACATGGGTAACACCCAAAATCAGGATGACTAAACATCAATTGGATCCCAAATCACAAAACATACTCAGATCATCTATTGTAATTTCTTCAACAGCTCACAGGTCTTAGAAAAAGGAATCATATTCTTAACAAGAACAATAAATATGCTACTTATGACTCAATTTCTATTTAAGACATTGTTGTTAAGGGTTGTTGAGTCAGTTCTGACTAGTAGTGACTCTGAACTAGGGTTTCCAAGGAGCAGCTGGTGGGTTTGAACTGCTGACCTTGTGGTACATTTAAGAGTTACTTCCCCAATTTTCTATGCGTTAGTAAGTCGTAGTGTTTTTCTTTTAGCTATTTCAATGCACAAGTTTCCATTTTGCCTCAAAATAGTTCTCAAAACTGTCACGTTGTTAAGACACCATTTCAGCGTGTATTACCTAGATAATGATAACTTATTCTTTAGGTCTTACGTCTGATATGTGCTTAGGAAAGAGTTCTCAAATTACCTCAAACAAAATCAGGTAGATAAGCTACCAGATCCCAACACCCTATAATTTTCCTTCATTGAACTTTTTGAGTATTATCTATCAGATTCTTAGGGAAGACAACTTATTTCAGTAGAAAAATTATTTCTGTACAGTTAAGTACCTACTATCTTAAAAACTCTAACACTGAAGTAATTTTCCAGTAAGATTCAGGACTGACTCAGACTATTTGCTTTCCACAGAAATCTCAAAAAAATAAAAGGTATTCTTTTTTAGTTTGGGCAGACTGCAACACTTATCATTTGTGTTAACTAGTTTTAATGTGCAAGGTTTGTGTAGTAAATTTGTGTTCAGATCTTAATTTTATCTCATCTACTTTTTTTTAAAAAAGAGGAATACTTACTGATGAAGATCAAAGACACAACCTTCAGTATGGGTTGTACATCAATGTAAAGGAGAAAAAAAAATCCTCACCACTGGACTAATACATAATCACAACATCAAGATAAATGAAGAAAAGATTGAAGTTGTTAAAGACTTCATTTAGCTCAGATCAACTATCAACACTCCTTGAAGCAGCAGTCAAGAAATCAAATGATACATTGCATTAGTCACAACTGCTATACAAAACCTATTTAAAGTGTTCAAGAGCAAAGATGCCAGTTTGAGGACTAAGACATGCCTGAGCCAAGTTATGATATTTTCAATAATCTCAGATGCATGTGAAAGTTGAACAATGAATAAGAAGACCATTAAAGTTATGGTGTTGGAGAAGAATGTTGAAATACCATGAACTGCTAGAACAAACAAATCTGTGTTGAAAGAAGTACAGGCAGAATGCTCCTTAGAAGCCAGGATGGCCAGACTTCCTTTCTTATACTTCAGACGTATTATCAGGAGGGACCAGTCCCTGGAAAAGGACATCATGCTTGATAAAGTGGAAGATCAGCAAAAAAGATAAAGACCCTGAACAAGATGGATAGGCACAATGGCAGCAGCAGTGGGCTCAAGTGTGTCAACAACTGTGAGGTTAGCGAACTACCTGGCAGTGTTTTATTTTGTTGTGCATAGGGTCACTATGAGTTGGTACAGACCCAACAGCACCTAACAACGACAAAACTTGTTTTACCTTAAAATTCTCATCTTAAGTTATATGCAATAGTCTATAGAATGTATTTGTTGTTGTTAAGTGCCATTGAGTTAGTTCCAACTCATAGTGACCCTGTATGGGATTTCCGAGGACAGTCTCATTAGTTTGAACTGCCGTTCTTGTGGTACAAACAGAACTTGTGACCCAGTGCTTCTCTTACAGTGCCCATTTGTTTTATCAATGCCTTCTATCCTCTTATGTGTTTCTTTTGGATTTCTGGTTAACAAGCAGATCCTGTTCTGCTCTCTTAAATATGAGAAGTTCTCTATCTGCTTTCTGCTTTGGACTTTTAAACAGGGTTAATGGCAACTTTGGTGTGGTGCAGTAGGATAAGCAATGGACTTCAAGGTTGGTGGTTCAAACTGTCCCTTGGAAATCCTATACAGGGTCGCTATGAGTGGGAACCGACTCGATGGAACTTAACAACAATGATGGTAACCTAGGCCAAGCCAACTTGGACTGAGTTGTCTAGACTAGATCTTCTGAGCAAATGTAGTTTCTTATTGTTTGTCTCCCTTCTTGTCCTCTAGAATGGTGGCTATGCTTCAATTTAGTCTTTATTGTGAAGTGTGAAAAACACACTCCATGTTGGGGAAGTGAAATGGGTAGAAAACTAAGCAGTAGATAGACGTCTTCAAGGTTTGATAGAGAATCCTGAAGCTCTTCTTCATTTCCCTTTAGGGAACAGAGGAAAGTGATAGGGCTCAAACACCAAAGAAACTTTTTTTATTTTTTCGTTTCTAAAATTAAGTACTATCTACTTTCAATTTCTCTTATCTGGCACTTGGAAATATGGAAATCACCCATTTCCTATAATAAAACTATTGACCTTTGTTTTATTAATATTTGGAGTATATTTAAAATATTATTTTCTTTATTGCTTTGATATCGTTTACAGGTACATATTATTGGGTGAACATAAAATATGAGTCACAGTGGATTTAATGAAAACTGTTTTTTGTTTGTTTGTTATTCCTGAGTATTTTGACTTTCTTTTATGACTATAGGTATGTTTTAAAGTAGTCAGAGTCATATGTGGATTCCTTTGCTAACATTCTTATAATTCTTTCCTTTGCTGGGGCATCTTTCCATTTTATATTTAAATATGATGTCTTAAATTCCTGTTACACACACAAAGGAAATAACCGCCTTGTAATATTTATTAAATACTTACCTTCCCTGTGAATAAAATAAAAAACAGCATTTTCACTCATTTAGTGATTGAAAATGCACGAGTAGGTTGAAAAGAAGTAATGTCGATCCTACATTGAATCTCAACTTTTTTAGTATCATCTATAGAGATTATGAAAGGAGCTCTGGTAGCGCAGTGGTTACGAATCGGGCTGCGAACCTCAGGGTCAGCAGTTCGAAACTACCAGCTGTTCCATGGGAGAAAGATGAGGCTTTCTGCTCCCGTAAAGATTTACGGAAACCCTGTACAGGGTCGCTATGAGTTGGAACTGACTCCATAGTACATAACTACCACCACCATAGAGACTATGAAGTCCAGGTGTGGAGCTATAGAACAAGCACTGTGTTGCTAACTGCAGAGTTGGAGGTTCAAGTCTACATATCATTCCTTGGAAACCTCATTTGTTGTTAAGTGCTGTGGAGTCGGTTCCGACTCATAGTGACCCTGTACATGGTTTCTGAGGCTGCAAATCTTTACGGGAGCAGAAAGCCTCATCTGTCTCCTGCGGAACAGCTGGTAGTTTCGAACTGCTGACTCTGAGGATAGCAGCCCGATTTGTAACCACTACCTTACCAGAGCTCCTTTGGAAAGCCTATACAGGGTCACTATAAATCAGAACCTACTCTATAGCACTTTTAAACAATAACAACAACATAGAGATTATAGTAAAACAGACATAGCCCAAGACTCCAAGCTGTATAAATTTCATTTCATGTTCTGCCATTTCCTTATCAAGTGATCTCGTCCATGTGATCTAACCTGAATATGCCTTGGCTCCCTCATGTGTAAAATCGGATTAAGCATGGTAATTGCTTTATTGAGCTATTGTTATGAGAACACAGCTAATGTGTGCTGTGTTCTCATAACAATGCCTCTAACCCAGTGAGGTCTACTTAAGGGTTTACTCTTCTATAAAAAGCAATGATGAAACATGCAATCCTCACATACTCTTATGGCTAAGACAAGCAGGAAGTCAGCTGCAGCAATCCAAAACAAGAAATGTTTCATTGTCATACCTGAAAAGAAAAATAACATAGTTTTAGATTATTCTCAACTAGTTGAATAATGGAATCCTGGTGTGGGTCTGTAGGATAATCACTAGACTGCTAACCATAAGATCAGTGGTTCAAACCCACCAATCGTTCCTTGGAAACCCTATACAGGGTTGCTATGAGTCAGAAATGACTCAACAGCATTTAGTATCAACAATAGTGGAACATTACTTTGCAATAGCCCCCTTTTTTTTTTAACCACTTTCAGATGCCTGCATCCTCCATAAATTGGAATTTGTAGGACAGGAACGTGTATTAAAGCATTAATCATTGAGAATAAGGATACAGATTTGTGGTAACTAGAATAATGACCTCCTAGTGATGTCCCCATACTAATTAATACCCACAATTAAAAAAAAAAAAAACCTTTTATTGTGAATTGAGTGAAGTTTTACAGAGAAAATCAATTTTTATTCAACAAATCATACACTCTTTTTCATCTCAATGATTGCAATTCCCTCCATGTAGTAACAGTTTTCTGACTTCTTTCCTGTGGTTCCCATTTCCATTCTACCCTGCTTCCCATCCTTTTCAACTTTGTCCTTAAGTAAATGTTGCCCCTTTGATTCATAATGATTGTTCCATGGTGAACATACCTTACTAGTGTTGTTGTTCCCCTTATAGACCTATGTACTGCTTGGCTGAAAATTGGGCCACGAGAGTGAGTTTTGTTCTAGACATGAAGCATGGTTGAGGGCCATAATCTCGGGTTCCTTGAGTCTCTTTCTATAAAACCAGTAAGCCCGGTCTTTTTAATAATTTAAGTTTTGTTCCACATTTTCTCCCACTCTATCCAGGACCTTCTAATGTGACTCCTTTCAGAGTAGTTGTTAGTGGTAGCTGGGCACCATTTAGTCCTATTGGTCTCAGAGTCATGGTGACTGAAGTTCACATGTTCTATTGGTCCATTGGGCTAATTGATTCCAAGCATCTTCAAAATTTTATCACTCTTCTTTCTTATGCACACAGAGAGACCAATGGCTGTACCTTAGATGGTACTCACGAGCTTTTAAGATACCAGTTGCTACTCACCAAAGTTGGATGTAGAACATAGTCTTTGTGGACTCTTTTATGCTAATTGGCCATGGTTTCCCCTGAGACTATAGTCCTGAGCTCCCAGAACCATCAAATCATTGATTTAAGCTATTTGATAATATCTGAGAAGTTTTCATCATTTTGTCCCTTGTATGTTCAACCACATTCATAGGTATGTTTACAGCAAAGGGAAATTCCCATGTAAAATATCTTCTTTCAATTTCTTATGTATTTGTGAGAATACTCCCACTCTCCTTCACATACCCATTCAACCTGTGTATCTGTTCATGTATTTGCCCACAGAACACAGTGGTTGCAGGGTTGTATATGTAACAGCTTTACTTCTATCCCCTTGAGCCCATGCATACCTCTGTATGTCTTCATCATTCTTCTATTAACCATTCTTTTCTTGTATATTGCCATCCCCATCACCAGAGATAATGTGTCTACCCTTTAACCAATAAATTACTCTCCCTTCCCTCCCATCCTTGGTAATTATCATAGAATGTTTCTTTTTGCATGAAAACCTTTTCTTGAGTTTTCACAATAGTGTTCTCATAATACATTTGTCCTTTTGTGATTGACTAATTTCACTCAGCATAATGTCCTCCAGGGTTATCCATACTATGAGGTGTTTCATAGATTCATCACTATTTTTAAATGTTGTATAGTATTCCATTATGTGTATGTACCAAAGTTTATTTATCCATTCTTCCACTGATCAACATTTATACTGTTTCTATCTTTTTGCTATTGTGTCTATTTGTGTCATGGTTCTTATTTCTTATGACTAATCCCCACAATTTTTAAACATATTATTCTATGTGGAATTAAAGTAGCTGATGTAATTAATGTTGCTAGTAGTTGACCTTAAAATGGGAATACTATCCTGGAGTCCTGGTGTGGCACTGTGGGCTAAGGCACCAGACTGCAAAGCCATTTGAACTACAAGGTCAGTGGTTCAAGCTCACCAGTTGCTCCTTGGAAACCCTATACAGGGTCGCTATGGGTTGGAACCAACTTGACAGCACTTAACAACAACAACATCCTGGATTAGACAGTTGAGAGAGGGTTCTTAAATGTGAAAGAGGAAAATGAGTCAATGCCAGAGCGATGCTATGTGAAAAAGACTTGGCCAGGCATTGCGAGCTTCAAAAATGGAAGAAGGTAACCATGATTCAAGAAATTCAGGCAGTCTCTAGAAGTTGGAAAGTCAAAGAAACGGGTGATGTCTACAGCCTCCATATGGATGCAATCTTGCTGATATCTTGATGTCTGCTCAATCAGACCCATAATGGACTTCAGAAACCCATAATTGTATGATAATAAAATTGCATTGTTTTAAGTGATCAAGTTTTCCATAATTTGTTACAACAATAATGAGGAACAAATATAAGTACACAGCAAGGTTAGAGAGAAGAGGTGTGACAAATTATTGGGCACATTATTCTCTGTGTAGCTGTGGATTGTAATCCTTGCCTAACAAATTTGCTATGAGAGTTGAATTACTTAAAAAGTTACTTGGCTGATTCTGTGTCTTCCATACATTAAAAACGAACAAACAAACAAACAAACTCTTATTTTAGGAATTCCATTAGAATTCCATCTTTTATCCTTTGGATTCCACTGTCTGTAATTCAGTGCATAAACATCTATAGGAAATAATTTTGAGAGTTTATTTTCTTTTAAAACATTTATAAGTGTGGCAAAATTAAGCTTTTTCCCCCCCTAATTACATGGGCAGCATATGAATTCCAGCTGAACTGTTGGAATGAATCAATGCAGGCTGGCATTTTACTGAACTTGATATGTTCTTTGAGTATTTTTAGCAGAATGTTAGCTTAGAAATCATTCATCATCTGATGCAGTCATCATGTATTGTAACAATCATAAAACTAGTCTTGAATAAATGAATCACTTTCTTTAATCCTGTTGAATTTTTATGCATATTAGTATTGATTAGAATTAACAATGCTATTGGGACAAGCACTGGACTGCTAATTACGAGGTTGGATACTCAAACCCTCTAGCCACTCTGAGGGAGAATGATGAGGCTTTCTGCTCCTGTAAAGATTTACAGCCTTGGAAACCCTGTACCAGGTTGTTATGAGTCCAAATCTACTTGATGGCAATGAGTTTGCTTATTGATATACCAAAGGAGTCCATGTGACACTATGGGTTAGTGGTTTGGTTTCTAACTACAAGGTAAGTAGTTCAAGCCCACCAGATGGTTCCAGGGAGAAAGATGAGGTTGTCTGTTCCCACAAAGATTTATAGTCTGGAAACCCTATAAAGAATCTCCACGAGTTGGAATCTATTTCCTGGCAGTGGATTTGAATTGATATACCAAGGAGTCCTGGAGTGAATTATTGGACTGCTAACTGTGAGGCTGATGGTTCAAACTCACCAGCAACTGTGCAGGCGAAAGATGAGGTTATTTGGTCCCATGAGGGTTGCAGTCTCAAGAACCCCAAAGTAATTCTACTCCATCTTATAGGGTCTCTATGAGGTAGAATTAACTGGATGGTGGTGGATTTAGTTTTTAATTGAAGTATCATTGGTTAATGATAATAAAATTATTGTATATGCCCTAAATTTCATTTAGATTCTTTTAAAAAAAGAAAATCTTTAGGGAATTGTTCGAAACACAAAATCCTAGATGTTATTAGCTAATTATGTTTTATTTATCAATTGAAAACTGATTTTCAAGTGATCTCTACTAAGGAAATCTGCTGTACAAGACCTCTTTAAAGTGGTTAAGAGCAAAGATATCAGTTTGAAGACTAAGGTGCACCTGACCCAAGCCACGGTATTTTCAATAGCCTCATATGCATTTGAAAGTTGTATAATGAATAAGGAATATTGTAGAAGAATTGATGCATTTGAGTTATGGCTTTGGAGATGAATATTAAAAGTGCTGTGAAATGCCAGAATAACAAATAAATCTGTGTTGGAAGAAGTACAACCAGAATGTGCCTTAGAAACCAAGATGGTCAGATTTCATCTCTCATACTTTGGACATATTATCTGGAGGGACCAGTCTCTGGAAAAGGACATCATGCCTGGTAAACTGGAGGGGTCAATGAAAAAGAGGGGGATCCCCAAGAGATGGGTTAGCACAATGGGCTCAAGTGTAGCAACAATTGTGATTTTGGCACAGGGCCAGACAGTGTTTCATTTCTGCTGTGCATAAGGTCACTGTGAGTCCGAACCGACTTGACAGCAGCTAACAACAACAAAATATTTATATGAATTTATATATTTATTTTTTTCTAAATTTCCCAATTTAGCTCTGGACTGCTATTCACAAAGTGGGCAGTTCAAACACACCAGACAATTCTTGGAAACTATACTGGACTACCATAGAGTCAAGTCAATGATGACTACATGACCCCAAATGCAAAGTAGAACTAATTGTTGCATAGGTTTTTCAAGGCTATTCACTTTTAAAAGCAGATTTCCAGGCCTGTCTTCTGAGTTGCTTCTGGCTGTGTTTGAATCACTAATCCTTTGGTTAGTAATTGAGCACTTAACAATTTGTGCCACCCGGGGTGCTGTGGGATAATGCACTGGACCACAAAGGTGATTTGGATCACAAGGGCAGCAGTTCAAACTCGCCAGCTGTTCCTTGGAAACACTCTACAGCACTTAACAACAACAACAAGGAGCATAATATTTGTAAAATACATCCTAATGAGACTTGATGTCGTGCTATAGGGTAAACGTCAGACTTCTAAACACAAGATCAGTGTTTAAAACCCACCAGTCACTCCTTGAAAACCCTATACAGGGTTGCTATAAGTAGGAACTGACTCTACAGCACTTAACAATGACAAGTCCTGGTGTGGCACTGTGGGTATGCACTGGATTGCTTACCAAAAGGTTGGTGGTTCAAACTCACCAGCCGATCCTAGGATACCCTGTACA